TTTCTCCTGCTCTTCAGATTTTGCTCTTCTGCATACATTTCTTAAACTTATGACTTTGTTCTGAATGCCTCCATATCCATGGCTTGAATGTCTAAGTAACTGTTGGTGCTAGTGTTCTGGTACTTCATTGTTTTTTCTTTGGGGATGTCAGTTTCTGAGTCACTAATACTGGAAGCAGACTGCTGACCGTTTTCAAACAGAGTTTGCAGGGTAGACAATGTCTGTTAACAAGTGCAGTAGTGAACTCCATGCTGGTAGGATTTGAAAGAAAAAAGTCACAGCAGTGTTCAAACAGGTAATGCCTGTATGCTCAATGAATAGTAAATAATCCCAGAGCCTTTTTCAGAACCTCTTAAAGAGATTCTTGAGAATCTGGTGCAAATTTATTTTATGCTATTTTGAAAGGAAGACAATAAAATACAGAAGACTAGGAGAGTAATTTATGTGCTGTGTGCCTCAACGTGTCTTCGTGAATGGCTTCACCAATAATGCCTTCTGCTGTTACTCTGGGACATCACAGCCTCCACATGCTGATTCCTTCTACCTTAAAGCTGAGATGGTATTTTACTGCAGATCATCTGAGGAGCTAGGTGGATTTTGTACACACCAGATTGAGACAGTGGATGTTAAAATAGAGTTTGTAACCTTTGGACGTGTTTTTATCCAAATCTTTATTCTGACTATTCTTTATTATTGCTATAATTTAAGTTTAAGGCTTCCTTCCAGTTTAATTCTACCTAGAGATACAGATGATTGAAAACTGAGTGTACCTGGTGACGCATTTACATCTGTGATGTTCATAGATAAATCTCCGCAAGGATTTTGAGACACATTGATCAGTCAGTGCCTCACTAGAACTCTGAATGCAGTTTAAATACTTTTGCATTTAATTACGTGCTCCTTGATTGTTTTCTGCATGTCTTTGAACACCATGGACTGTTAGACCAGCTCCTTCGTGTTTCTTTCCAAGTGACACAACTACTGCCAGAGCTTGGTGAAGAATGTATGTTGTCTAGACAGTGTTAGCTGTTTATGTGGTGTCAGGCTGACGTTCAGGATGATGATAGCTATATAGGTTTGTAGGTGCCAAAATACAATTATGCTATAATGCATATTGGTGGTCCAGAGGAACAATTGGATCGCAGTCTTAAGGGCAATAACTGGCATTCTCCAAATGTTTACAGAACTGCTAAGACATCTAAGTATGGTGTGTATCTGAGCAGTTGGCTTGATTCCTCCTGGCTTGCTGAAAACCAACTTCCAGGAAAGCTTGTAACACCAAATGGAAAAAAGTTTGTGGTATGATGGAAACAAGCTTTTTGTGAATCTTTACATTTAAAGTTCACAATACCTTCTTGCCCATGTTCATTTGAGTCCATTCAGGTTCACAAGGTGGTTGTTTCAGTCTGCAATGGACTGATATGCTTGTGTGTTTTGTAGTCTGCTATTGTCCATTTGTGCGGTTTTTGACACTTAAATGCCCTTACAAGAAAGTTCTTTCTGCTTATGTAGAACTAATTTGATCATAATAATGAAGGAAAAAACTCTTGTTAAACCAATCTTAACACTTCTTCAGCTGTGGGTTTTTTTTTTTGTTTAGGGCTTTTTCCCTAGCACACGAGAGGTTTCAGGCTGTAGACAGCGTAAATTTTAAGTCATACAGACTAAATCTGCCTTTAAGTGCATTGTGAGTGGTAGATTGTCTAAAAAGCGTTGCAAGGTTGCAATGACTTTCAGACATTGTATTTTAACATCTGTTACATTTCACTACTTTGTTACTTTGATAGTTATAATCATCAGAATGCATCAGAAATTCAAGGTGGTTGTTTTTCCGTTTTGGTTATCTCATGCTTCTAAAGACTTAAGATCTATGTGGAAATAACCCTTGCTTGTGTTAGTAAAAGTAAATACCTTAAATTTTAAAATTGGATTTAGCTTTTCTGATAAGGCCTATTGCAACCTTAATGTTCCTTTATCCCTTTGTCTCCCTTAAGCAATGGTACCTGCTCTCCAGACCTGAGTCTCCAGAAGTGGTGCTATTTTTACAGAAAGGAATTAAGTGATTTGTAATTTTCTTAATGTCGAATAACATAGTATCTATACTTTCTTAACGTACAGTAGGATTCATATTCTTTCTTCCTGAAGAGTTTGGGATTGACCGATGTGAAGAAGTTTGCTTTTCTGACATAGCAGGCTTTTTCCTTTACATTGTTCAGTTGACAGATTTATTTCTGGAGTAACTGAAATGAATTCTGGGGGTTCTGTCCACTCTTTTGATGAAACCGAGGCTTAAAAATGTAAATTCCATTATAGGGTATGGTTGGAGAAGCAGAATTACATACCCATAAATTTCTTTTTAAGCAATCACAGAGGACTTTTTGAATTAAAAGAAAGTGAATTAAATTTATTACTTTACATGTACTTGTTTGTTAAAGTGGTGATGAACATTCCTAAAGAGATCTTTAGGGATGGCATTTTTATAGAATTCTTCTGCAGTTTTTCAGCAGCTAGATGTGGCATCTGTATGCCTTAGTTTGTTTGCATACATGAGGCTAATGTTTCCTGTTGATCACATTTTTACAGATACTGTCTAGTAAACTTTTCAAGCCTTTGAAACAGAGCTAGAGGAATGGACATAATATTTATAAAGGTGTTTTGGATCCTCAGAAAGAAAAATGTTTCTCATGCCTGTATAATACCTATATAAGAAAAGCAGTTTTTGCTATTTGTCATTAAAATGATCACAATTCAGTTTCTGTATGTCTTTCAGAGAAGAATCTGGAAATGGCTTTAGTTTAAGTAGCTAATTTCAGTCGATGTGCAAATATAACAGAAGACATATTTTATAAAGTTCTAAGTTTTAGTTTTAAGAAAATAAAGCATGTCCAAGCTATAGTGCTAACTTCGTAAAAAAAAAAATTTAAAATCTCAGGCAGTTTATGGAACACTGGCTTTAAAAACCTCCACGTATTGAAAACGATACAGGATTAAATTCTGATTTTTAAGGTTCCCACTAGCAACTCTGGTAATAGTTTCAGAATGTAAAGTTTTCACCTATTCAGCACTTTTCTTGATCAAAGAACCAAATTTGAATGTTTTAGCTAATTTTTGTGAATCTCCTTATCTGGTAACATATGGCATCGTAATACTCCAATATTAACTAGTCAGGCAAGTTTTCAGGTGCAGTGAAACATGTCGGGTCTTGTCCAATTCTTCTACCTGTAGACTCCCGGAATATTGCTTCTCTTATTTTAGTGCAGTCCTTCCAGAAAAGATGGCAGGGTTTTGTGCACATATGTAAACTAATTTTAGGTGACTATGCAACAATAATGGTTGGGGTTTTTTGTTTGTTTGTTTTAGGAAAAAGTAGTTAAAATAATTATGCTGGTAGCAGGGGTGGTTCCAAATTGTGACTCTTGCTTCTATTCATCTTCCCTTTGGATTATAAGGCTGTAGCAGATACTGTACAGGGCAAAGCAATCTGTACTGGAGAGTAGATTGCTTGTAGTCCATGGAATACAGTTGGAAACTGGCACTAAGGGCTGACAATATTAAAAACTACGTTCTGTGGAAAGAAAGGATATAGGGTGTGCAAGCCCATGTTAAGGTACAAAACATCCAAACCCAAATTCTTCCAGTTGGAAGACTACTAATTTCAAGGCTGTAGCCCTGAATCTATTACTAGAGCTGTTGCTTTTACTTCAACAAGGGACTTAAAAAGGGATTTAATGTGATGTGTTATTTCTATAAAAGTAGTTCACAGTGGTATTACCACAGGGAATATGGTGGTAAACATTGATGGTACTCAATGTTTGAGTATGCTTATTGATTGTGTTTCAGTTTTTGTATGTATTGAAGAATTGTACTCCGATTATGATGTATTGCATTCTTAAGAGCTGTTGTGTGACAACACAGCCATGCCAAGGCATTATAGTCTTTTGTTCTGAATAGAAGCAAAAAAAAATACAATTTGCAATCATCTGTTTCAAGTGACAATAAATGTGTATGAAAATGTAATGAAAATTTCTTGCTTACTTCAATATGAATATTATGAGCTGGAAGGCATGTCCTGTGAGGAGCGGCCAAGGACTCTGGGTTTGTCTAGTTTGGAGGGAAGGAGGCTGAGGGGCGACCTCACTGCTCTCTACAGCTTCCTGAGGAGGGGAAGTGGAGAGGGAGGTGCTGATCTCTTCTTCCTGGGATCCAGTGACAGGACGCATGGGAATGGATCAAAGCTGCATCAGGGGAGGTTCAGAGTGGACACTAGAAAACAATTCTTTACCAAGAGGGTGGTCAAACCCTGGAACAGGCTTCCTAGAGAGGTGGTCAATGCCCCAAGCCTGTTGGTGTTTAAGAGGCATTTGGACAATGCCCTTAATAACATGCTTTAGCTTTTGGTCAGCCCTGAAGTGGTTAGGCAGTTGGACCAGATGATTGTTGTAGATCCCTTCCAACTGAAATATTCTATTCTGTGCTGTGAACACTCTGGGGAAGAGATGCAGCTCTGGGTGAGGATACTTAATAAATGTGAGCTGAAAGGGATGATAAATATTTGCTCTAAGCTATGGACTTTTCAAGAAAATAACTGCCATAGACATACTTGCTGTTGCACGTGTTCTTTTGGGCACACTGAATGAAGGTAGGAGAAATCTGTAAGAAGGTGAGTGGGTTTAGAGACTCTTCATCTGTTGTTACATACCCAGAATAGGTACCTGTTTTCTGGGAAAAATCTCGTCATTAATCCACGCTGAGGTTGGAGTCCATGTTTCCCGGGTACTATTTGGGGCTTTTCATAATGTCAAGAGGTGTCTCTGTCAGGAGCTACCTCCTGAGCCTGGCTGCAAAGAATTACTGGTACAGTCTGTAAAGGCTATTTTTAAAGTACTGGAAGTTGTTCAGGGATTGCCCTGTGCCTTCGTTGGGCAAAGTATATTCTTAAACATTATGGCATGTAGGTGCCTCCTACAAATGAAGAAGTGGACTCCTGAATTCACTGTGCACATATTTACATGAGATATCTTCTGTAATGCTGAAGAAAGCTTAAAGCTTTGGAAATTTCAATGGATAAATGGGGTTTCTTCTGGCTTTAGGTCAGCATCTAAAGAGAATGGTAACATCAGGGCAATGTGATTCTGCAGTGTATGATTATATAAACTGATACTGGTTTGATTCAGGCTATATGGTAAAGCATTAGGAAAAATGTAAAGGAGGCAAAATGTTTTGTGGTTTTTTTCCACACAAATTCATTCTGAGATGAGCTGACTCCATTTTAGAAATGGGTTGTGGAGTCCCACAGAGTTAGTAGTTGCTCCCTGAGAGTCTGGTGGATTTCAGTTTTCAGTTTGTTATTGTAGAATTTGTACTTATTGTCCCTGTTTCCACTATGCTTTGCTAATGTTTTTATGTATCATTAATGTTACTAATAATGAATTAATGAAATGTAAAACAAAAAAAATTAAACATTTGATTAGTTTTTAATAAAATGTTTATTTAATTTATTTTTTAACTAAATGTAAAAAAAAATTCAAAAAATGTTTTGCCAATGGACAAACTTATTAAAACTTACAGGACCACTCATGTTACCAAGGCTCGGGATACAGACTGTAATTTGCATTTAACAGTCCGTGGAGATACGAGAAAGCATTAGTAGGATCATGTCATCATTGTGCTCGTGCAGGTCCTATTCTGAAAAATAATTAAGGGACTCAAGTCTTTCTAAGAGTCTGTTTTCTAAGTTGATTTTTTTTTTGTATTTCTGATGCTCATTGAGGTTTTTATAATATGGTTGTGATGAAAATGTTCTCAGTATTTAAAACCAGATAAATGTTACTGCAGAAAGTATAAATATCTATCAAATGGAAGTTCTTTTTTATGGAATAGAATGAATAATTTTACATTGCAATTTTGTGCATGTATTATATTCTAAGGTGAGAACAGATTATAATATGATTTTATAATTAGATTTCCAGATTGGGTTGTATCTGTTGTTGAGACAGGCCTTCATCTTCTTGTAGGCATACCTTTTGCCTTGTTTGGTACAGCAGCCCTCATTTGGAATGCCTGGATTTCAGAAAGGCAGTGTTTTCACCTGAGGTCTTTGAAAGTCAGTTTTCATTCCTTTTCCACATTAGATTTGTGATTACTGTGTGAGTAGTAGTAAGAAAATGGAAAGGGTTTGATCTGTGATGTGGTAGGATCTTGCAGCCAATAACAGTCCTTTTTTAAAAAATTATCTTTTGTGTGGTAGGGAAAACTTTCTGTGCTTCGCTTCTAGAGGAGTTACAGACTAAGTTTAGAGAAGCGTTTTCTAAGACTGTAATGACTTTAGAAAATATTTTCATTGCTGACAGCTTCTTATTTTTTTGTTTAAAGGCAAAATCTGTAAGTGATAATGAACATACAGTTCTCTTAAAAAAAAAAAAGGCAAAACAGACTATATGCATTCTGATCTGTTAGCACAAACCACTGATATTTATTTGGTGTCCATGTGAAGTTTTCTAGAATGTTAAAGCTTGGGTTTTTTTTACTAAAAATGTTTATAATTATATTCTTAAGGAGTGAGGGTAGGGCAGATCAGAATGCCTTGGGGACATAGTGATGGGGGTCCAGAATCTATCACTTCAAAATCAGTGGTGCACATCCAGTCCAGCTTGTTAGCAGACAAATTATTTTCTGTAAAATGAGCTGGGGAGTTGACCAGGTCATACACACCTATGATTTTCATTTATGTTAAGATCGAACTGCTGCTTGGTCAGTAGCTGTAAGATAAATTTCAGGACTGGCTGTTCAGTGTTCATCATTTTTGGGTTGTTTTTTTTTTTTGTTGTTTTGTTTTGGGGGGGCATTATTTGAAATAGTCACTTGCTTATGGCCAAGGTGTTGGAGTTGGGACACGTTTAGTTGGGCAGATGTGATATAGCTGCTGGGACTAAGACTGTATTTTTACTGTCTTTTTGTGTATATTTTTGGTGAAGAACTCCAGGCACACCTGATGTAGGACTGGTGTAGACCTACTGATGTAGGTGCTGGAGCGTGTCCAGAGAAGGGCAACAAGGCTGGTGAGGGGTCTGGAGAACAAGTCCTGTGAGGAGCGGCTGAGGGAACTGGGGTTGTTTAGCCTGCAGAAAAGGAGGCTGAGGGGAGACCTCATCGCTCTCTACAACTACCTGAAAGGAGGTTGTAGTGAGGTGGGTGTCAGTCTCTTCTCCCAAGTAACTAGTGATAGGACGAGAGGAAATGGCCTCAAGTTGTGCCAGGGGAGGTTTAGATTGGATATTAGGAAAAATATTTCACCGAAAGGGTTGTCAAGCCCTGGAACAGGCTGCCCAGGGAAGTGGTTGAGTCCCCATCCCTGGAGGTATTTAAAAGACGTGTAGATGAGGCACTTAGGGACATGGTTTAGTGGGCATGGTGGTGTTGGGTTGATGGTTGGACTCGATGATCTTAGAGGTCTTTTCCAACCTCAATGATTCTATGATTCTATGACTTAGAATATAGAAGCAACTGAAACTGCTGACAAAGAAAAGGAAGATGGTGGGAGTTTTTTTGAATTATTTTTTTCAGTAAGATGAAGATCCTATCTTCTCAAACATCCTAAGTTAAGAAGGGAAGAAATACATTGCATAGTCTTCTCTGATCAGAGAAAACTATGAGGACAGTTGGTGTCCTTTTGAAATGTGTTTTATGACTTTCACTCTCTAAGCAGCAGCAGACTTCAGTTTCGGTTAATGGTGGCTACTCTCTTAACCCAATTGTGAAAAGTGAATATAATCCCTACTCCATGTAAATGCAGAGCTAAACAGGTTGCTTAACCTCGCCCTGAAAGTAACTTAACATTTAAAAAACAAACAAATAAAATCCCTTCATCTGAGAAGCAGAAACTAACAACGCATTGCAGCAAATTCATAAACAATTTGAACTCAATTATGAAGGGATTCTCTGTAACAGTGTGTTACAAGCCTTAGAATTAGAATTTCATAAGCAATTTTTTGCCTCCTTCCCTGGGGATTATATTAAACTGAAATAATTCAAGATAAAACAGCTTTTGTTCCATTGGTACATTGTTTAGATTTCTATTTTCTACTGGGGTGTAGAGTTAAGGGAAAAGGGCATGTCAGAAAACTAGCCTAATCTTCTGCCTGTGGTTTTGGCTATAGTGCCTGAAACATAGGAATCTAAATACATTCAGTGATAATAGACCTGTTAGGAAAATAAAACAAAACAAAACTGCATATGGTAGAAATAGGTAACTGTTGACCTAAGCTGGGGGGGGGGATGACATAAAAAAAATTTGAGTGGGTCATCTAACACATTTGTTTACGTATTTTATTTCTCTACAGCAATTTCCTGGTCGTTTATGCAAGGGACTGTCAATGTCTTTAGTTAATATGTATTTGTGCTAAGTTAGGTAGCAGATTGTTGTGTCGTTAGGCTCGACAGAGGACATTAGTCAACAGGTAGTATCACTGCTGCAGTTACAACTTTTTTTCTCATGCTCTTCTCTGAGAAGTTTTTCCAAGGAGCAAACTTTTCCATTTTTAGTTCTGTGTATTCAGGCTGAATATGTGGGTATTGTTTTTCTGACTGCTGGCCCCTGCAGTAGAGGAGGGGACTAAAAGGTTGCTGATTTAATATGCCTCTGGTTGTGATGGTATCTGCAAAGTATGAGCTGTGAAGAGCAGTATAACTAATTTAAGTTGCTGTGTATCATGCTTTACCATCTACTTCCTACAAGTGTTTGTGTCTGATCACAGTCCATTGACAGGCACATAAAAGCCATGCCTTGCTATAAGAAGTGTAGCTTATATTTAAAAGACACTGTCACTGAGTGATGTATAAAGTTTTTAGGTGTTGACGAGATGAACAGTTCTGATTATGTTTGCTATAAGACATCCCTTGGTATAATAGTTGGTGACATTTATATTCAGAATACCATCTAGATCAGAGAAGTAAGTGAATTTGGATGTTAAGTAAGTGTTATCTGTGAGAATTAATGTGTGTGAGATAGCAGGTAGTAACAGTAATAGATGACACTGATTAATTGGGCTAGGCTGCAGGTAAGAATTGAAGATTCAAAATACAGAACTTCCAAAGGCTTGGAAATGGTTTTGTGATGCTAGGTTGTTGTAGAGAGTTGAGGGACCAAACTAATTTGAACTTCAAATAGGGGGCATGTAAATAGTACTCATTCATTGCTAGCCAATTCTTTTCTCTTCCAGGCCAGCAAAAAGGTAGCTTTTTATACAAAGGAAAATAGTACTGGCTGTGCTTTTGTGTTAATGTTTGTGAAAAACCTGTGAGGCAGTTTGCATCTAGAGGTTATTTAGTGGGTATGACAATGAGTCCTTAGCTCAGTTTGCAGTGGTAATGGCAAACTTAGGTTGAGGTACAAAACTGCTAAACCAAAACTGAAGTGCTTTGAATATTGATTTAGAAGTCCATACTAACAATATACTTTTGAAATAGTTTTGGTGTCCATGTAAATATGTATATATGCCCTTGACAAGTAAGGACAAATGCTAAATTCACCCTTAAGCCACTCCTCTCCTGCTTTCCATTAGAGGTCCTATGGAATGGTTTATTTTCAAATGTTTCAGAGCCAAAAAAGTCAGCAGACTACTTATATGCTGTGCTTGTTCTTGATTGTATTTGCTTTAGTTTTTGCTACAGTGTAATTTCTTGCACAGAATTGATTGTTTGGTAAATAAGAAGGTGGTGTTGAACCATGCTGCCAATGCAAGAGCCTACTTTTAATTGGAAGAATTATTTGGCTGTGAATTAGTTTCAAACACAATAAATTGTAAGGAGAAGAATAAGAAAGAACCATCTTTCATTATTTGAATTACAGTTGAAGTCTTCATAGAATGGGGGACACCAATAAGTACATATAAAAAGTAATTAGGAAAATACTAATTATAGTTTGATCTGTTTGAAACCTGTCATCTAGTACCATGAAAAGATTTTGTTGCTTACAGTGCTTTCTGTACGTGCTCTAGATTCTGAGGTTCTGTTAGCTTGTAAATAAATATACTAAATAACTGCTAAATATACTAAATAATGTACTAAATAATAAGTTCATTCCATGTCTCCT